TGCCTGTCCCCTCTTTGGTACAAATCACCCTCGGAGCACAGAGCTTGGATCACGGATCCCCAGACCCCATGGAGCTCCCTGCACATGCCAACCAACCATTCTGCAGAACCTCCTGGCTCTGGCAGGAGGGAGGACCAGCAGCACAGGGAGATGCTGCCTACAGTGGATTTTTTACAGCTCAGTATTTTTCCTCTCTGGGAAAGCTGCGGGAAATGTGGCAGCATTCCCCAGGCAGAGCTGGGACCTGGAGAGGAGGGAGGAAGAGGTGAAGGAGCCCTGGGTTTCAGCCCTGGATTTATCTCCCCATCAAGGAGAGTCAGGCAGCGCTCATTTGACATCTCCACACTGCATCCACACTGCACCACCTCCGGGCACACACTGAATTTTCCCCTGCAACTAAAGCAAGGGACAAAGGTCGGGGAAAAAATAGAAAAATTGATCTCCAGTCACAGCTCTGCATGTTCCCCTGCTTTAAAAATTATGGTGGCAATCAAAAGAATATGTGTAAAGCTTAAGGATGGTAATTTCCCTTGAACAGCTTCAAAGGGTTTCGCCCTTCGTGTTGTGAAATAAGAGAGAAGGCAGGGAGGGATCTGGAATTACCCACAGCACCAGGGATATGGACATGGGAATCAATAAATACAGGGATTTCTGTGGCTATCAGCAATAAGGCACAAGATGCTAACAGGTTAGACAAGACAACTTTGAACTCCCCTCCTGAAGAACAGGGATGTTTGATCACGCTGTGCTTCCAAAGAAAACCTGGCATTGGATTTTTAAATCCAGACCTGTCAGGCTACACAGCCAAGTGCTCCATGACAATCAGAAAATCAGCCCAGCCTGGTGCTCCCCCTCTCCCCCCTCCCACAGCAGCTTCTCACCACTGACAGGAGATGTGGAGGGTCTGGGGGGCACTGGGAAGGGATCCTTCCCTGGGAGGGTGGGCAGGCCCTGGCACAGGCTGCCCAGAGAAGGTGTGGCTGCCCTGGATCCCTGGAAGTGTCCAAGGCCAGGTTGGACAGGTTTTGGAGTAGCCTGGGCTGGTGGAAGGTGTCCCTGCCCATGGCAGGGGTGGCACTGGATGAGCTTTGAGGTCCCTTCCAACCCAACCCACTCTATGATTTTATGATTCTATGATTCTATATTTGTGTCATTTACTAAACCCTTCCATTGCACCACCCTTCCCTAAGCCCAGGACTGGCAGAGCTCTGGGCAGAATTCCAGCTGTGACGTACACCAGAATTCCCAGATTCCAGCCTCCTCCCCGTTCTGCTTTGTCACAGAGCTCCAGTGTAAGTTTTTGCTAAAAGCACTTGCACACTTGCCAGGGTCTGTGGTTTATATCACCTACTCACTGCTGAATTATTTATAGCACTGAGGCAGCAGCCCCGGTGCCATATGGTACTGGGAGGGAAACAAACACAGACAGACAGAGCTGGGAAGGCAATTTGCTATAGAGAAAAATTATTGAGCTCTGAAGAAGGAATTGAGGCTTTCTTATCCTGTGCAGTCACCTTCTGGAAGTGGCTTCTCACCCACAGCTCGTCGTGCACTGACCCAGGGAAACAAGTTCAAACAAAGGGTAAAAACAGGTCAATGAGGAAACCTGGGAGTTGGCTGAGATGGGTTGTGAGAAAGGATTCAGGTAACAGAGAGATCAAAGCAGGAAAAAACAAAGAAACCCTGAAGGACATGAGGAAAACTGTTGATGTGATGCTGAAGTGACAACGCCCCACAGCTTGTGGGACCCAGGGCTGGACCCAGCCCAGGCTCTGGCAGAGGCCCTGCAGGGAGCACTCAGTGCTTTCAGATGGTTTGGTTTATTCCCAAGCAGTTTTTAAGGGATGCCCTGCCCTTCCCTATCCCCTGGGGATGTGCTGCCACCCCTCTGCAACCACAGCAAGCCCAGCACAGCCCTGCCAGCCTCGTGGCTGCTGCTCTGTGCCACAGCCACAGGATCCTGGAATGGTTTGGGTTGGGAGGGACCTCAAAGCCCATCCAATGCCACCCCCTGCCATGGGCAGGGACACCTTCCACCAGCCCAGGCTGCTCCAAGCCCCATCCAGCCGGGCCCTGGACACTTCCAGGGATCCAGGGGCAAGTGGAAGGTGTCCCTGCCCATGGCAGGGGTGGCACTGGATGGGCTTTGAGGTCCCTTCCCACCCAAACCATTCCTTGTGTCTGTGATAAATTGCTCTAAATAATCTAATCCCTCGTTAACTGCCCCCAAACCATGTTCTGTTGCACACATTTCCATTCCCTGAATCCACGAGGGTCACAAACAGGAGGGGAAATGGCACAGTCACTGAGCTGATTTAACAAGCTGGTTCCAGGAGGGTCCCAGCCCTTGTTTTGCCTTTCCTGACCTTGAGGTGCTAATTTCCTAAGTGATAATGAGATGCAACCTGCACATTTCACAGCGGTAACAGAGCCAGCCTCTTCACCTCGGGAAGCTTTACTCGAATTTACTACACAGCAATGAGCAAACCATTGTGGGTTTCACACCTTGTCTCAGGGCTGACACCTCACCAGGGCAGCAAACTCAAGCATCATTATTTATCGGAGGGAACAAAGCTGCTTCTTAGTAGAAAAACAAAGAACAAAACAAACCAAACAAACAAACACCCTCAAAAACAAAACAACAAAAAACCTCACACAAACAAACAAACAAAATCCCCAAACCATTTGACTCTATTTCATTTTATATATTTAATTAAGAAGATGTTGGTACCTTTAAAGGAGGCAGAAAGCTGCATATTGATATTCATTTGCAGTACATGCAAACCAAGCCCAGATGCACCTGAGCACTCAATAAATATACAGGGCTTGGTTTTTTTTTGTTGTTTTGTGGTTTTTTTTTTTTTTTTAAGAATCCTCTTTTAAAATCAACATTTTAAGATAATTTATTGATTTAACATTTTCACCAGAATAAAGTATCCTGTCTGGCCAGTACTATCAAGACACAAGTGGGATACATCAACCTAGAGGATACTTGTGGGGTTTGTGCCTTTGCTGTTTGTCACCCCACCAGATCTGCCCAGGAAGGTTCCAGGTGATCCAATGCTCTAGAAATCAGCAGCAGAACAGATAATTCAGTTTACAAATGGCTTACACAGTTCAAGACTGAAACGTAGCCCTTTCTCCCCTTTATGTGTAGCAGCAAGAGCAGATTTTATTCTTTTAAAGTTCAAATAATGAAAAAAACCCCTTGACGTGGCAGCCTGGCAGCACGTGCTCACTGCAGCAGCTCTTCCCTTTGTTCAACTGGTTTTCCTTTATCCTTGAGAAATGGGATGTTCCTAAGGGTTCACCCAAGGCAGAGCCTTGCCTGCCAGAGGGGGGATGGCACTTGGGGACATGGGTCAGGGGTGGCCTTGGCAGTGCTGGGCTCAGAGGGCTTTTCCACCCTGCATGCTTTGATGGTTCTGTGATAAATCAGTATTTTATTCCCAGTGGGGATTTCTCCACCCTCATCTTTCCATCTGACTGTTGGATTTTGTGTCCCCCCCCCCAGCTGAAATCCCTGACTCAGCAATGCTGCTGCTGCTCCCCTCACCTCGGGCTCATCAGGGTGGGGGGAAAGCCTGGTAAAAAGTTGTGGGACTGGTTTGACACACGAAGGGGAGCAAACTTCTTTCCATGGCCACTGCACCACACCAAAGGATGGGGTGTTAGGCTGGGTCTGCCAGAGCAGGGCCAGGGGCTCCCAGAGGCATCACCTTCCCCATCTCTGCCATGGCCCTTGTGATGAACCAAGGGCCTGTCCCACCTCCCACCACTGCAGGGCTCCCAGTGTGGCACTGGCTGGCCCCAGAGACCCTCCAAGCAGGAATGAACACGAGCTGTTGTTTGAATTGTGGCCCCACACGCATTTCAGGCACACAAAGCAACCCTTGTTGCATCCTGGTTTACTTGGAGCCTCTCTTGGCAGGGCTCTGTTCTGCTCAGCTGGCACCACCTCCTCACAGGGAGGAAGAGCCATGGATACCTGCTCTGCCAAGGAAGGGCCACGGACACCTGCTCTGCCATGGACACCTGCTCTGCCATGGACACCTGCTCTGCCATGGACACCTGCTCTGCCATGGACACCTGCCATGGATATCTGCTCTGCCATGGACACCTGCTCTGCCATGGACACCTGCTCTGCCATGGACACCTGCTCTGCCATGGACACCTGCTCTGCCATCAGCTGCTGCACCTGGTCCACTGAGACCTCCCTGAGCTTCCAGCCAAATCTCCTCCAGCTCTGCTCTCCCCTCCCACTCCGTGGGCTCTGTGATCCCAGTGGTGACAGCACTGACAGACCCCACTGTTGGCCCCCACATTCCCAGGAAGCAGAGGAGGCAATCAGGAAGGGAACATCTCCATAGCTTTGCCACTTCTTCCCAAATTTCACACCTCTTCCCATTATGGAGCCTGCTGATCCATGAAGTCTGCAAACCATCCACCAGCAGCACTGGTGGCTTTTAAAGCCTGAGCTGCTGCCAAGCCTTCCAGCTCTGCAAACTGCCATTGCCTTCAGCTGCTCAGCTTCCAGCTGCCAAAAGCCACGGTTTGCAGCTGTCAGGGCCATCTTGTTTCCCTAAATTGCAGCCCATCACCATTTGGAAGCAGCACAGGCAACGATAAGCAGGCTGTGGGAGGCTGCAGGCCAACAAACCACTCCAGCTCATCTCCAGCTCGAGCTGTGGCTGCAGGTTTCAAACTGCCTTCCCAGAAAAGCTGTCCTTGGAGTGCAGGGGTCATGGACTCTGTGAGGAATGCCTGAAGTCAGACCCTCACAGGAGGGGGTGTTTTAATAAGGTGGCTTTTATTGTGACCCACATCAACCAAGTGCTCTGAGTACAGCAGGGAAGGGTGTTGGGCACTGCCCAGGGACACAGGGACGTTTTAATGGAATGATAGGACAAGGGGAATGGCTTCAAGCTGAATAAGGATAGATTTAATTTAGATATTAGGAAGAAATCCTTCCCTGTGAGGGTGGGCAGGCCCTGGCACAGGTTGCCCAGAGAAGCTGTGGCTGCCCCTGGATCCCTGGAAGTGTCCAAGGCCAGGTTGGAGCACCCTGGGCTGGTGGAAGGTGTCCCTGCCCATGGCAGGAGGTGGCACTGGATGGGCTTTAAGGTCCCTTCCCACCCAAACCACTCTGGGATTCTGCCCTGCCTACACCTCTCCTCCAACAGGCTTCCCAGCCCTGCCCAGTTTTCTTGCCCCAACCCTGATTCCAAGTGCTCCACACTTAGATGCAAATGTTCCAGTAATTTATGTCATATCCAAATCTTTAAGCAGAGCTCTATAAAAACTCCTTCCTCAGAAACATTAAATCACGATCCTCTGCCCTGGATTTGCTGGAGCAGATATGCAGGGAGGGCTTCAATTCAGATTCCAAAAAATCTCTTTCTAAAAACATGTTTTCCAGTGTTATTATACAGCTCAGAGCTTTCCTGCCAGGTGCTGGAGGTGGCAGCCCCTCATGTCCCATCTCCAGCACTGAGGACTCCCTCCTTTCCCATGGGAACCCCAGGGGGCTGCTCTCAGGGGCAGCAGGGAGCATTTCTATTCCAAATCTCCACATTGGACTGGACATGGGACAGGTGTTGCAGTGACATGGAAAATGCAGAGAGATGCTCTGGGAGAGGGATGGGAAACAGGGTTTGGATCTGCCTGGACTGCCCCACCCACAGAGTGAAAACGTGGCTGCACTTCTGTGTGTCTATTTTAAATTTTAATAATTACCTAGTTCTTGAGAACTGACAATTATTGTGGGGACCCTGAGCAGCTGTGGGGTGGCAGCTCCATCTCATCACTGCTCCCTCTCATCCCAGAGGATCCTTTCAGGCTGCATTAAGTGTCTTGGTCTGAGATGTCAGCTAAAGGAGCAGCACTTCCCTTTGTGAGGAGAGGGATTAACAGGGATTGTTTCTTTCCAACCTGTGCTGTTTTGTCCCTACCTCCCCCCTAGATTAGGGGGGATGGCACTGGAGTGACTCAGCTGCCTGCTCAAACAGAGCAGGTATCTGCTGAGCTCACACTGTGTAAATTCCCTCCTAATATTCCTATTTTGTATCTCTTTCCTCTTCCTTTTGAGCAAATCTGCTCATCACTGGCTCAGCTATCAGACAGATGCAGACACATGTATTTCATTTCCTTAGGAAACTTGCCTGCAAGATGGTAACAACTCCTGTGCCAGGCACTTCTCCAGCTGTTTGAGATCATTTGATTGCAACAGAAGCAAAGTCCAGACATGGAAAATCCTCCACCACACAGGCCCGGGGGTTTCTTGAAATACTGGTGCCTGGATGCAGCCTCTGGCATGAGAATCTTCCTCCTGTAGTGAGAGGTATTGCACTGTTGTGAGATGGTGCTCAAAAGTAGAATGATACAAAAGACTGAGATGGGTCCAGACCATGCAGGGACTCCTTGACATCTCTGCTGTGGCACTGCAGGACATAATTCATGGAATAAAATCCCAGAATCCCTGAGGCTGGAAAAGCCCTCCCAGCCCATGGATCCCCCTGTGCCCATCCCCACCTTGTCCCCAGCCCAGAGCACTGAGTGCCACGGCCAGGCCTGCCTTGGACACCTCCAGGGCTGGGCACTCCAAACCTCCCTGGGCAGCCCCTGCCAGGGCCTGACCACCCTTTCCAGGGAGAAATTCCTGCTGATGTCCAGCCTGGACCTTCTCAAGGACCTGGCCAGCTCAAGGCCATTTCCTCTTATCCTGTTGAAATTCTGGAGGTGATGGATGAGCATCCTGGGATGAGCACAGGCTCCTGAGGATGCAGCCAAGCCCAGCTGGCCCTGGACAGAGATATCCAGCACTCCCAACCCATCCTGCTGCAGACTCACCAGGATCCATCCCCCCAGTGTCAGGGAAGGATTAACAGCTTGTTCACTCTCATTCAGTTCAGACCAAGGCATGTCACAGAATCCCACAATGGTTTGGGTTGGAAGGGACCTCAGGGCTCATCCTGTTCCATCTCCTGCCATGGGCAGGGACACCTCCCACTAGCCCAGGTTGCTCAAATCAGGGCTATTAATTATATTTGTAAAACATCATCACATCTGTGTTCCTTTGAAGAGAAATGTTATCACACAATGTATCTGATACACTTGACATATTCAGAACCAACGAAAGGTCATGTCTGAGAGACCAGACTGAGACTTCATCACTCATTATAACTGATGCTTTAATGACCACAACGATGTCACACGTTTAGGGTAACCCAGTAAAGGTTTGGGGGCAGGCTCCAGATCTTACACACATGAGCTGTAAATTAGGGTGTCATGAGGCAAAAAAGTCTCTGCAGGGCAACATCAGCCATCTGACAGCAAGTTGTGCTGTCCTTCGGCACTGAGCCGCTGTCAACGGCCTGACAAAAACCCTCCCAAACAGGAACACAACAGGGATAAATGGAAATGAAAACACCTCGGGGCACTAGAACATTCAGACTGTGAAGGAGGATCGTGCAAACTGAACAGCACCGTGAGGCACTCGGGCTGTGACTGCAGATGTGAGGGGAAGGGAACCAGAGCAGGCAGGAGGGACAGGGGGACCCAGCTGGGACTGGCACAGCACGGCCTGGGTGGAGGGACAGGCTGGCACTGCTGGCCTGGGAAGGGCAGATTTGGGGATGGGCCAGGCAGATGTGCAGGAGAGAGAGAGAGCTCCTCACACTGCAAGGGCCACACCTCGGCAAGAGCTCCTGTGCACAGCCCCAAAATACCCCAGAGAGCCCCTGCTCCCAAACTCCTTTGTGCACAGCCCCAAAATACCCCAGAGAGCCCCTGCTCCCAAACTCCTTTGTGCACAGCCCCAAAATCCCCCAGTGCCCCCTGCCCCCAGTGTGCCCCCCTGGCTTTGTAGGGTGACCACACAAAGCTGTGTGTGCTGCATTCCAACCTTTAGGGCAGGAAACGCTGCTGAGCTGCAGTCACACGTTGTGACACTGCAGATTTTTCATATAATAACTACAAGTCAAGTGGAGAAATTTGATGAAGTGCTTTTCAACACTGTATTGACTCAAAGGAATGGGCTGGGAGGGTGGGCAGGCCCTGGCACAGGTTGCCCAGAGAAGCTGTGGCTGCCCCTGGATCCCTGGGAGTGTCCAAGGCCAGGTTGGACAGGGCTTGGAGCACCCTGGGCTGGTGGAAGGTGTTCCTGCCCATGGCAGGGGGTGGGATGGGCTGAACTTTAAGGTCCCTTTAATCCCAAATCATTCCAGGATTCCCTGCTTACAAATAAAACACTGGGGAAGTTTCAGAAACCACCTCAGGGCTGCAACAGGTTGTGGTCTTACACACAAATCCAGGAGATCTGTAGAAACTCTGCCTACCCCAGGGCCCCCCTTAGTGGAAGTCTGATGTCTTTTTGGGGCTGCAGAGAGCATAACAACCTCACATGAACCTTTACACCAATTACACAAACTTTCCTTGCCATCCTTATTTAAATGATACAATTATCTCCCAATTTGCTGCCTACTTAGCTGGTTGTGTTCTTCTCAGTTATTATTCTCATCATATCTCTTTCCCTCTTTTTCTTTTCTCTTATTTTCCCAGCTCACAATCACTTCCACTGTATTCTCTGATTACTGCTATATTTAATCTTTTCCTGTAACAAGCCAAGAAAAAAACCAAATCCCCCATTGCTGCCAAAGCAGAGAACAAACCCTGCCCCTCATTATCCTGCACACACTTTGTTCCTTCTTGCTCCTGCACTGGAGCCACCCAGCTTTCCATGTGCCACTGACCTTCTGCTTTTCATGTCTCTCTGCCCTCTCCCATCTCCTGTTCTGAGCTGTCCATGTTCCCTCTTCTCCCTGACTCCTGGAGGGGGTTGTTTTCCTCCCTGAGCAGTTTTCAGAGAGGTAACACCGTGTCCAGGCCCTGCCCCTCCGACATTTGGGGTGAGTGAACAGCCCCTTCCTTCGTTGGTCATGCTGTGGGTGAGAGAGTTCTTCTCGTCTGCAATGATTTCACCACTGTGGTCACAGAAGAAAACGAATCAGCATCATCAAAATTTGGTGTCTGGAGCAGGAAAAGAAGAAAGGCCACGACCCAGGGCTGGAGGAGTCAGGGCTCGAGGGGGGAGTGTGTTTGTGTGTCCCTGTGTGGCCATACACACATATGACATGGGTACCACATTTGGGAATCGCATTTGGGAATGGTTTTGGTTGGAAAAGCCCTCTGAGATCATCAAGTCCTACCATGCCCCAGCACTGCCAAGGCCACCACTGCCCCACATCCCCAGGTGGTGACGAGGAGGGATGCCTGGGGAGGGAGGAAGCCACGCACAGCCAGCACAGATGGATGGTCTGACCACTGAGCAGAGGGTTCAGAATTGTCCTTGAGTGCTGGGCTCGGTGCTGAGGCCCTGCAGCTTCCCCTGAAGGCAGTGGTTTCCCCCAGCTCTTCCTGTGTGCCAGAAGGAGCCTGGTGCCACTCCAGCAGCCAGGGATCCCCCAGGCACCTGGCCATACCTGTGCCCTGCACTGCCCTGCCATGATCTCAGCTCCCAGGCTGTTCACTGTCCACAGTGGGATGGCACTGCTGAAACAAATCCCTTGGGATTACACTGTGTGTGCACAGCACAGCTTCTGTCTGCTTATGCCTCTGCCAATATTTACTGCATTGAAATATTTATAGGCTTTCAAATACTGTACATCTCTCACACCACATGGTTGGAGTGCTTCACAGAATCCCAGAATGATCTGGGCTGGAAGGGACCTTAAAAATCATCTTGTTCCAATCCCCTGGAAGGGCAGGGATACCTCCCAGTAGCTGCCAGAAATAAATGTCTTCAGAGCAGCAAAAGTACCAGGACAAATTCTCAGTCTGGTGGGAGTTGCCCTGTCCCTGGAATCAGCTGAGCCCCCCAGCAGGGAAAGCGATCCCTGACCTGGGTTGGGAGGGATCTTAAAGCCCATCCAGTGCCACCCCTTCCATGGGCAGGGACACCTTCCACCAGCCCAGGGTGCTCCAGCCTGGCCTTGGACACTTGCAGGGACCCAGGGGCAGCCACAGCTTCTCTGGGCACCCTGTGCCAGGGCCTGCCCACCCTCCCAGCCAGCAATTCCTTCC